CGCCCAAAGCCCGAACGAACCTGATGAACACCCGGGGCATACGAACCCTCGAAGTTAAAATACCGTTGGGCCTCAGAATAAAACGACTCAAGGAGCGGTAACAACTGGGGTGGTGCACCTAATCTATTGAAGACTCTGCCCATGGCCGGCACATTCAGGGAATCAAAGTACCCAGCAACGTCCATCAATGCAGCAGTGTTGACACCCCGCTTGATTGCAGCCTGAAGCTGAAACAAGACGTCCGAAGTGGAGCGGCCCGGGAGGCCACCGTGGTCGCTGGAAGAAGCCCATTTGAGGGTCCAGGGACGGAGTGCACGTGCAATGTGCTTGGTCCCAACTCGCCGAATTACCTGAGTGAGAGTAATGGGGCGGGTTTTGGGCCCGCCTCGCTTGCGGATCAAGGTGACCTTGGCGAACCTCCATAGCTTCGGCACTTGGCCCCGATCCCACACATGTTGCCATAGTTGGGCGGCCGCGTGCCACCACCGGTTGGGCAGTCGTGCTAAGTCCTTTGCTCGCCAGCAGTCAGGCCCGGCAGCCTTATTCGCAAATGAAGCAGCAATGGCCCTGAGCGCGCCGGGGTCAAACTGAACTTCAACGTGTGTGGGCTCAACAGCAGGAACCTTCTGAAGGACCTTCGCAATGGCATCAAGTTTAGGTTTAGGTTCGGACTCCCACTTGCAAAGCCAAGCTTGGGCCTGAGCTCGTACTACCTTGGATGGATGCACATGGCCAGCGGCTTGTGCTTCCGCCTGGCTTGGGCAGCGTTTTTCAAACTCAAGCTGGGCATCGGCCCTGGATTTGACAAAAGCACGCTGGCGGGCAGTGTCTTCCCTCAGCATTGCCTTCCATCTAGTCCGAATTGCAGAAGTTTCTTGCTCTTGAAAGGTCTCAAGCCTCAAGCAACTCCCCGACAGGCCCGAGGAGTTTTTCGAGATTCCACTCAGGGGCCCACGGGAGGTCAGGCACAATGGTTCGGGCACGGGGTAGGGACTTAAGGATTTTTCGCCTCAAGGCCTGATCCGGCTTACTGGCCAACGTCGAGAGCTGTCGCTGCAATTTGAGAAGGACACGCACCGAAGCCGACCCCTCAAACCTTTTACAAGAGTGCACCTCCGCAGCACTAGGCGCCCAGGGCAGACTCCGGGGATGATCGCCCGATCGCGTGTGACACAGGCAATTCTCGGCCACATTGGAGAGCTCTTGCCAACCCTTATCAACATCCCCCGTGGCTAAAGCAAACCAGAACGGATCGAAATCAGCCTCAGCGAGCCACTGCTCGAGGTCGTCAGAAGAGGCACAAACCGTGCTCCTGGCTGGCATAGTCATAAACTGGGGGGCGTCAAGAGGGAGCTCATAGATTACCGACAGGTGATCTGAGAACGACGGCTCCACGTGCGAGATGCCACTAGCCGCCAACGACCAGTGGCATACTCCGTGGTCTATTCGGCGCCTACGTCCAGGGCCCGTGGGCGGCAGGGCGGCGCCCTGCGCAGCGTCGTCTAAAGATCTGATGGCACCTGCTGCAAGGGCTTCGCCCAGGACGGCCTCTGTGGGCTCGAAGTTCATATCGCCCGCGACCACGAAGGGCCCTTGGCCCGCAGTGCAAGCCGCCAGGATGTCCGAAATTTGGGCGGCCGCGGCGGCCTGGTGTCCTGATTGTCCGTAGACAGACACGAAAGCAATTTGCTCATGTTGCGGTGTTCCCTGAAATTCAAAAATGCCTGCTGCGCACCTGGTGTTTCCCAAACCTTCTGCAAGTCTGAACGGTCGAAATGGCAGGGAGCTGACCAGGGCGACTCGGCTCAGACCGGAGTCCTCGGGAACAGATAAAGCGGCTGAAAAGCCTCGGGCCTTCCAGGCACGAAGGAAACCTGGGGCCGATGCAACATTGATGTCAGCTTCCGCAATGGTGCAGATGTGCACGTCGTTTGCCGCAAGGAAATTGCAAATGGCTTCAACAGACGACACACCCTTGCCAGCAATGTTGACAGTGGCTAGTCGGACGAAAACGGCAAATTGAAAATGATCTCGGCCTGTTCAAGCAGATGGCTTTCCCGCTTCTTGACTGGGCCCTCGGGTGTTTGCTCGGCATGGGCCTTGGTGAGGGTCTTAACAGCCTCAACACGGCGCTTGGCTTTGCGCTTTGCCTTGGCGCGATCACAGAGGCCACGCTTTACATGGGACAGTGCATCACTTTGCTGCCGGAATGGTGTTTTGCACTCAAGACACAGCCACCCAAACGATGATCTCAGCCCGCCTTTGGCAGCAAAGACTTTTGAAGGAGTGGCCCGTGGCCAACAAAAGAGCCGAAAGTGTTCTAAGGCGGTACCCCTGGCAGCACTGAGGCGCTTGACACTCTCACGGCCACGGCGTGTGACAGCAGCTTTGTCGATGGTGCTCTTGCGGTCAAGTGCCTTGAACCTGGCCCAAGGAACCCTCGGATGAGCGGCTGTCTTGTGGGCAAGTTTATCGGCAGTCACAGCATCAGCACTCTTAGAGAAGGCGTCCCTAGCAGCAATGCCAAAATCACAAAGCGGGCACCTCCAATGGCAGTTATCGCCAGCACTCGCCTGAATGACAGATGGCTGGCGCTTCCCGTGTGGGACCCCGGACGGGATTTGCCCTGGATGGTGGGTCTTGTAGTGGGCATACAGCTTGGCCTGACGGGTAGCCACGCACTTGGCGGAGGCTCGGAACGGGCACAGCGAGCAAATGGCAACGGGACTGCGATCCTGCTGAAGCCCTGCCCTCCCCCAGTAATGCACTTGGCGCTCTGTGAGAGGCTTGCGCGCTACATTGGCAAGCACTGCTTCCAGGTCGTCAATGCACTGCGGTTCGGGGGGCCCGGCGACGACACTGCCAGGGGCACTGGAGCTGGCGGACCAAACCGTGGGAGGCTTGGACAATGCCTTAGCCGGTGCCTGCGAAGGCTTTGAACTCCACTCAGTCCGGCGGGACCTCCAGTAGCGGCAGCCCGTTGGCAGGACCGAGCGTTCGCTATGCTCCGTCCAGTAGCCCTGCACTGTTCGGGGCAGGCCCAGAAGGTTCAGCAAGCCAGCCGTGGCCACCATAGCGTCGGCGTATGTAGCCAGCTTCTTCTCCAGCTGGCCTCCGGCCCCTAGCCGCGGGAGCAGGTATTCATTCTCAGATATCGTCACCGGAGCTCCTTGACTCGCCTGGTAGCGCCTGAGGTTTTGGTCTTTGTCAGGGCGGTGACTAGCCGGCCCTCGACGAAGCCTAGCTCTGCAGGCACAACTGCCTGCAGATCGGACCACCGTAGCGACCCCCAGATCTTTAGCAGCTTGCCCCAAGCCCAGATGCGCCACCCCACGGCCACATTCTGGTTTAGCACCAAGATCTCCACAAAAAGAAAGATCACGTAGGCCGGGTAGCGCGGGGCCCGCTTGATGAGCGGGGCCCCTTCAGCGAGGATCTCCACTATCTGGTCCTTAGCAGCCCAAACAGGCGCCCATGGGTGGCTTTTAGCTCGTCGTGGTACTCCGCGAGCCTTTCCATCCAACAAATAGCTTTCAGGATAGCCTCCGGCACACTGCGGCCACAGGGCTCATCCCGTCTAGCGAGCAGATAATCGACTAAGTCTGCTGGTGCCCCCGGAAGGGTCTTTAGCTTCGCCTCCCAAAGCCAGAGCCGCCACTGCTTGTAATAGCTCAGGTAGCGCTTTAGCGTGGAAGACCTGGTCTTCCCCACTAGCAGCAGGGCCGCCCTCCCAGGATCCAGGCTACCCTGCAACTTAGCTATCACCGGGGCGGTGATCTCCACCAGTTCTTCCCGTAGCTTGCGGGCCCAGATCCCCAGCAGCCGCTCCTCCCTAGCAAGGCTCAGGCAGCCCTCGCTGAGTAGCTTGCGGTTCCGCTCCCCCGGAGGGGGAACCTTTGGCAGCGCGTAGCTGCGGTCACCTCCAATGCCCACATCGGGGTTGTACACCTTTGTCGGCGGCATTAGCGTCATCCAGGTCAGATCGTCCTGGAAGTAGCCATGGGCCCTGCGGTGGACCTTAGCTTCGTCTTTAGCTTCCTGGATCCAGTAATAGCAGGCTTCCCGCAGGTACTCCTGCAGCGATGTCCTCCGAGTCGTCGTAGGTCATCTCTGCTAGCTACAGGGGTCCAAACCCCTGATCCATGAGGTGACGGTAGGACTTATCGAGCACTAGGCGCTGCTTCTTAGCAAGCTCCCCCGGCTCAGGCCCACCCACCGGACCCATCCCTGAACCTAGCGTGGGGAGAGGGTCACTAGCAGGAAAGGACGGGACAAGGGTCGGCTCCCCTTCGGGAGCCCCCTCACTAACATCCCCCTCCCTGTCAGTGGGGACCTCGGTGGGGGAACCTAGCGGGATCACCCCACCATCGTCCGTAGCTGCGCCATCTTCCATGGCGCGCGCCACAGAGCAGAGCTAATTAGCCCTGTTTCCTTTCTAGCCCCACTTCAAATTTGCCCCCCACTAGCAGTGGGGGCTCTGCAGCCCAATGGCCACGGATATAGCAAGTTGCCATGTGCACCCCACGTAGCAAACATCAAGCAAGGAGTTCCGTTTGCTACTTAGCGAAAACACCTTCGACGTTTTCATAGCAGAACCACCTTCGATGTTTCACGAGAGGATATATAGCGCTAGCATGCACGGTCGTACCTCGTCCCTCGCCACGAGTGCGAACCTAAGGCTAGCGACACTCATTGCTCCGAGGAGTCAATACAGGCAAACACGAAAGAAGGCACGCAAGGAATGGGTCGATGATTATGGGCTCGCCCCGGCCCACACTACCCTGGTATTGGTTGGCCCGCTCGGCTGGTCCCGAGGGGTACCAGCTCCGCTACCAATCTGGATTTAAACCAGTATTGGCGCCACTTTTGCCGAACTGCATACTATACTACCGGTGTGACTCAAGGACCCTACGGCGCACAAATATATACAACGTTCAGGATCATGGCATGCAATGTACTCCTAGACAAGGCAGAGTTCAGACAACACTTTCCCGGCGGGCCTCGCCCAAAAAAGCGCCAGGAGCTCCGCACCAAGAGCAGGGCCTGTTACGTGTAGCGGGTGGAGATTTGCTTTTGGCCTTCTTTTTGTGTTTTTGTCTTTTTTTGCGGTCTGCGGGGGTGGGTGGGTGGGTGGGTGGGTGGGTGGGGTGCAGGGGGGTGCGCAGGGCTGCGGGGAGCTCGGTGGTGTGGGAGCGGGGGCCCAAGCCTTTACGTACAAACGGGCTTCCAAGCAATTTACAGATGGAAGCAACATCCCGTATTGACAGGACTTAGATGAGATGTAATGAGATGTAACATGTACAAATTGTATTGCTCTATCTTCTCTTGCTATGACTTCAATATGATATGTATCTTGGTATTACACAAACTTTTACATCAATAGTACGTTCCAGCTTGTCAATACTGCAAAATATGTTGCCACTCAGTCTAATGTTATGCAAAAGACTAATCGCGATATCTGATTATATGAATACTATGTCAAGATTTTGCACAATTTATACGGCAAATATGGCAATAAACAACTACTACTACTAACTACTACTACTACTACTACTACTACTACTACTACTACTACTACTACTACTACTACTACTACTACTACTATTTCAATTGAACGCTGTGGAGCGGGCTCTGCACATAGCGGGCGAACTACTACTACTACTACTACTACTACTACTACTACTAACTACTATTACTACTACTACTACTACTACTACTACTACTACTACTACTACTACTACTCTACTGCTGCTGCTGCTGCTACTACTACTACTACTACTGCTATTACTACTACTATTACTACTACTACTACTGCTACTACTACTACTACTACCACTACGGTTGTGATTTGACTTGGTGCAGAATGGAGTCTTATACCATGAAACAGCACATGATATGTTGTTGCACTGTGTTGAGTTACAGTGGTTATATCACATTCTGTTAAACTGTTTCTATTCTGTCATGCTTTGTCATCATATATTGAGATGCATACTTTATTGTCTACCATGCCGTAGCAGCTTACAGTTTGTTAGATGTATCTAACACTACGTTATGTTGCGTTATGTCTGTTGAATTCTGAAGCTTATTTGCCCCAAACATCTTCGCCGGTATCTTGCTCACAGCCCCAAGCTTGCGATGGTAACGCAATCGCGTCCCCAAGCCTCTTCGCGTGCAACCTCAACAACACCTCAACGACAACAGCAAACAACTGCAGGTAAACAAGGGAGGTAATCGCAATGTCACAAAACCGCCACGCCACCTCAACAACACCTCAACGACAACAGGAAACAACAGCAGCATCAGCAGCAACAGCAAGAATGATGGCATTAACAACCGTTGTTATTGTCGTTGTTGTTGATGCTGTTGATCTTTGCTGTTGGTGTTGCTGTTGTTGTTGTTGCCGTTGTATTGACTGTTGTCGCTGTTCGGTGTTGCGGCTGTTGTCGTTGATGCTGTTGCTCATGTTGCGGTCGTTGTTGTTGTTGCTGCTGCTGTTTGCGTTGCGAACGTTGCCGCTGTTGCTGTTGCTGTTGTGGTTGCCGTTGCTGTTGCTGTTGTGGTTGTTGTTGTTTTTCTGCTGCTGTTGCGTTTCGCGAAGTGACGTTGGGTTTACCTCGTATTTTAGGAGGGATCCGGGGGGGGAAATGGGCACCAGTGCAGCCGGGACAGGACAATGGCATGTTCATTTTAGCGCTGAATTAGAAATCTGCAATTTTCGGACGGGCTCCCAATTCCGATTTGCCCCCCCCCCCCCCCACCCCCCGCCCCCGAAACACGTGCAGGAAACACCGTCCCTGCCGATGAATATGCACTCGAGGTGCGGGATCTCTCGCAACTAACGAGGTAAACGCAATGTCGTGAAATCGCCACATAGAAACAGCAGCAGCAGCAGCAACAACCACCACAACAACAACAGCAACAACAACAACAGCAGTCACAACAGCAACAACAGCAGCAACAACATCAACAGCAACCACCAAGGGCAACAAAAGCAGCGAGAACAGCAGCAGCAGCAACGACAGCAACAACGGCCAGGACAACCGCAGCAGCAACAGCAAAAACGAGGTAGACGCAACGTCGCAAACGTGGCTGCTGTTGCTCTTGCTGTTGCCGTTGATGCTGTTGTTCGTTGCTGTTGCTGTTGTTGGTGTTGTTGCGGTTGTTGTTGTCGCTGCAGTTCTTGCTGTCGTTGCTGCTGCTGTTGATGCTCCTGTTGCTGTGGTTGCTGTTGTTGTTGCTGTTGTTGCGCTGCGATTTCGCGACATTGCGTTCACCTCGCTTTTTGTCTAACGAGGGATCCTGCGCCTCCACTGTAACATTCCTCGGCAGGGACGGTAAAAAGGGAAGTAATCGCATCGCATTGTCACGAATCCGCCGCGCAACCTCAACAACACATCAACGACGACAGCAAACAACAGCAGGCAGAAAATGAAAGAGGATAAAGAGGTAATCGCAATGTCACAAAATCCCCGAGCAACCTCAACAACACATCAACGACAACAGCAGACAACAGCAGACAACAGCAGCATCAACAGCAACTGCAAAAACGATGGCATCAACAACCGTTGTTATCGTCGTTGCTGTTGTTGATGCTGTTGGTGTTGCCGTTGTTGTTGTCTCTGTTGTATCGGCTGTTGTTGCTGTTCGGTGTTGCGATGCTGTCGTTCTTGCCGCTGTTGTTGTTGTTGTTGTGGTTGTCGTTGCTGTTGATCTCTGCTGTTGGTGTTGCTGTTGTCTTCGTTGCTGTTGCGGTTGCAGTTGTTGTTGACGATGTGGTTGTTGTTGCGGTTCTGTTGCTGTTGATGCACGGCGGTTTCGCGAAGCCGAGTTGATCTCGCATTTTACGAGGGGATCCTGCACGTCAGGTGCAGGATCCCTCGGGGGGGGGGGGGCGGGGGGGGGGGGGGGGGGGGGCGCGGCAGGATCCCTCGTAAAAACCAAGATAAAGGTAAGGAAGCATGCAGATTGCACGTATTTTACGAGGGATCCTGCGCCCGAGGCGCGGGACCCCTTGTAAAATACGAGGTAAACTCGACTTCGCGAAACCGCCGCATAACAACCGCAACACGGCTGAGGTGCAGGATCCCTCGGCAGGGCCGTGCAATCTGCATGCTTCCCGAGGCTGGGGGGGAGGACGGGGGGCCGGATCCCTAGCAAAAAACGAGGTAAACGCAAGGAAGCATGCGGATTGCACCTAAAATACGAGGCAAACTCAACCTCTCCAAACAGCCGCGCAACAACCGCAACGCAGCTACGACAAAAACGAAACATGCACATGCACGAAACGCCGGCCCTGCGATGAATTCTACGCTTGACTGTTTCGCGGCGGTTTTCCGGAGGTCCAGGATCCCCCGTAAAATACGAGGGATCCGGACCTCAGGTGCAAAATCCCTCGTGAATACCGTGCAATTTGAACGTGCGTGAGGGGAGGTGGGGGGGGGTGTGACAGATCACGCAAAATGCAACGTCAGACCCCCACCGGCCCTGGTCCTAGCGGATAGAAACGAAACACTAGCTACGCTAGCTTTCGTGATAATACCAAGACACATATCATATTGAAGTAATAGCAAGAAAAAATAGAGCAATGCAATTCGTATAGTAGCAGTAGTAGTAGGAGTAGTAGTAGTAGTGGTAGTAGTAGTAGTAGTAGTAGTAGTTGTTGTTGTTGGTGTAGCAGTAGTAGCAGTAGCAGTAGCAGTAGCAGTAGCAGTAGCAGTAGCAGTAGCAGTAGTAGATAGTAGTAGTAGTAGTAGTAGTAGTAGTAGTAGTAGTAGTAGTAGTAGTAGTAGTAGTAGTAGTAGTAGTAGTTTGTAGTAGTAGTAGTAGTAGTAGTAGTAGTAGTAGTAGTAGTAGTAGTAGTTTGTAGTAGTAGTAGTAGTAGTAGTAGTAGTAGTAGTAGTTAGTAGTTAGTGGTAGTAGTAGTAGTAGTAGTAGTAGTAGTAGTAGTAGTAGTCGTGGTAGTGGTAGTAGTAGTAGTAGTAGTAGTAGTAGTAGTAGTAGTAGTAGTAGTAGTTAGTAGTAGTAGTTGTCTATTGCTATATTTGCCGTATAAATTGTGCAAAATCTTGACATAGTATTCATATAATCAGATATCGCGATTAGTCTCTTGCATAACAATAACATTAGACTGAGTTGCAACATATTTTGCAGTATTGACAAGCTGGAAGGTACTATTGATGTAAAAGTTTGTGTAATACCAAGATACATATCATATTGAAGTCATAGCAAGAGAAGATAGAGCAATACAATTTGTACATGTTAGATCTCATCACATCTCATCTAAGTCCTGTCAATACGGGATGTTGCTTCCATCTGTAAATTGCTTGGAAGCCCGTTTGTACGTAAAGACTTGGGCCTCCAGGCGCCCTTCCCCCGCAGCCCTGAGCACCCCCCTTGCACCCCACCCACCCACCCCCGCAGGCCAAAAAAAACAAAAGACCAAAAAACATAACCCCTGCGTTTGTAGCTCCAGACATGGCTTGATTCGCTGATCTGAGTGTCACTGCCTCGTCCCACGACCGCCTTCGACATCTCGAGCTATCAGATCAGCCTGAAAGGCCCAAACGAAATCCATGCAACCAAAGTGCGCCGGAGTCGACTAACCATTGTGTGAAGCTGCTCACACAAGCATGCAAGATGTTATCACCTTACTGAATTATACCGGTTGATGTGACGCGGAATTGATACAGCTTTCGGCGGTGCGAAGCGACTTAGGGCCGGCACGCAATACTTTGAGTATCCCCTTTTCAGGTTTGAGTTCGCCACGCCCGGCACCTCCTTAGGGTCGAGGATTTCCTAGTTGCCAACATCTCTATTTCGGGGTTAGGGTTTGCCATCCTCCAAGACCTCAGCCGGGTTTGCCACCTCCAATATCCCAAACTCCTTAGCATCATGTTGAATTCATGACCCCATGATCCTTGGCTGCCTTTTCAAAGGACTTTGGATTTTGTGAAGTCCAGGTCCCAAATCATTGAGTTTTCACGTACCCATAAGGACAACCACTGGGCGAATCTTAAATACCCCGCACATATGATAATGAAGGACAGCTATTGAAAGAGCCTCGTGAGCTCCCGAGCCAAAAATTTCAAGAAACTGTTCTAACTTTTGTGGTCCTGGAAGTGTCATCCCCAACATCTACTTCTAGGGTTGAGGGTTTTTCCATCCACGGGGTTTTGGGTTTGCCAGCCGCGGGAATTCTCCCTTTAGTGTTTTATTTAGTCTTGCCATCCCCAGCAGTTTCTTTCAAGCTTGCGGGCCACTCCCAATATATCTCATAGGAGTCAAGGTCTTGACTTTCCCCGCGCCTCCCTGTGATTTGGAGGGCTTGCCTCCCAAGATGTCTTTTGCCCAACACCCGTTTTTTTTTTTTTTTGGGGGGGGGGGCTTCAGGGCTTGCCTCTCTCAATATCCCCTTTTGGGGTTTGGAGTTTGCCAGGGGCCAACACCTCTTGCCTCGGGTTCAGGGTTAGCCAGTAACATCTCAATCTAGGACATTGAGCAGACTGGCAAGCCCTCAAGTTCATCGACTCATTATATTCTTTTGTTGGCGGCTACTGCCACATCAACCAAGAGTCGTCTCGAATTTAGTGGAGTCTAAGCTTGAAAGACTTGTGGGGCTCGGGAACAAATGTTTGCTGGAATCGATCCGACCTTTGATGTTGGAATAGCTTCTTATCAAATCGACTTTTTGTTTCAACCTTTCTGACCCCAAGCCTTTTCTACAGGTTCTTATATGTGCGAATGTCTTTACTTTGCCGACATGTACGGCAAAGCGCAAAAGCCAAATCCAATACCGATTTGGAAAGGCCGGGCTCCACCTTCCAAGTGAACTTAATCTATGTCCGGGGAATTGACATTTGGAAACTGCTGATACTGGTTGTGTGATTTGTGAGCTCTGTTCCAACCAACCGGCTAGAGTCCAAAGCAACCCAGCATTCGAAGCACCGACCTGACCTGAAATCAATCTGCTTTACGAAAGCTTCCCTCAGGCCTTTGCGTTGCTCGGATACAAGGTTTCAAACACCTCAACTATGACCTGCTAGCACCCTGTACGTTTGCGCAACCGCACGGACTCATCAACTCACGAAGAGTAATGCATGTTCGGGGGAGCTGATTTCGCTGAGCGAGCGCATCGCCTGGCAGCCATCGGTTAATTGCTTTGAAGCCTCGTCGGGCGGAACGAATCCCAGATCGACCCTCGGTACATGGATCGAGGTTGTGCTGAATTTTGTCGGTTCCACGCCTACTGCTCGCATCTGTTGGGCACAGATCTCAAGACGCGGTGTGTGAACCATGTTGTGGTCAGGTGCGGCTACATGTGGGAAAGAACCAGTGTTACGACTTCTGGTGGGCTCTGGAACATGTGGAATCGAGTTTGCAGACTGCCCAAATCTATGGTGGGAAACGGTTTTGTTATGGCTTCCATTCTTGAGTCGTAATGTGCGGTTACATGGGGGGAACGGCTCCACGCGTGTGTGTCTCGAGCGTCTGCATGGGGAATGGCTGGTGTTGAAGTGTGTCGTGCTGCCACCAATTTGTGTCTCGAGCTGGTGCTTGTGGAATCGAGTGTCTGCATAGAACCGGATCCGAGAGGCAGGAGAACAGGGCTTGCTAACTCTGGCAATGCTGTAATTCCTAAATATGCGTTTCACGTGCGTTTCGGATGCGTTCGGGGGCACGTGGGAGATTGCGTTTTGGGTCCGTGTTGGATGCGCTTGGGGATCTCTTTGGGTCCGTTTGGGATACATTTAAAGTGCGTTTAACGAATACAAAACACACTTTCTCGATGAAAAGTGCGTTTTTGGATCCGTTTGGAGGGCCGTGGCGAGAAACGGATCCCAAAACGGATCCAAAGCGGATCCCAAACGGATCCCAAAAAAAGTGCGTTTTTGGATCCGTTTGGGATCCGCTTGGGCAGTCGCGGCGGGAAACGGATCCCAAAACGGATCCCAAACGGATACGAAACGCACTTTCTCGAGGAAAAGTGCGTTTTGGATACTTTTGGGGGACCGTGGCGGGAAACGGATCCCAAACGGATCCACAAAGCACTTTCTCGAGGAAAAGTGCGTTTTTGGATTGTTTGGCACCCGCGAGGGGAAACGGATCCAAAACGGACTTTCTCGAAGAAAAGTGCGTTTTGGATCGGTTTGGGGGGCGGATGCAAAACGGATCCCCAAGTTGGCAAACGGACCCCAACGCATGTAAAACGGACCCCAAAACGCACTCGAAACGGACCCCAAAGCGGAGTTAAAACGCGCTTCAAACGAACGGCAAACGCACTTCAAACGCACCCCAAACGGTTCAAACGGACACGAAACGGACATGAAACGGACACGAAACGCATCCAAAACGCATCCAAAACGCACCCACAAACACATATGCATTCCAAACAGATTCCCAAACACATCCCCCCAGGCATTTAAAACGCACTTTAAGGCTTTGCACAACCAGTGTTAACAGAGCAAGATTGTCACAAAGCTAGCAAATCACTGCTAACAAAACCGAGTGTGGGTGCGTAGCTCCGAACGGCACTGTACCCAGGGCTGTCCCGACAAACGTAGCTAATCCAAGTGAAACTTCCCGAAAGATGGCTTGGCTGGCTGGCACATCGGCGGATGGGACCAGTTCAAAGGCCTGCCGAAGTCCACATTCAAGTTCGTCGGGGTCTGAGATAAGCCAGTGTCTATGCTGAATCTCGTCCAAACCAACCATTCCGGCCATTCCCCATGTAGACGCTGCATTTCACAAGCACCCGCGAAAGACACACATCATTGGAAACGTGCAATGTCGGTCGTAAGATCAAGGCGAGCTGAGCAAGCAGAGGCGAAGGGCGCTGAAGATGCGTCGTGTACGTTTCCTTCGTGAAGCTGCAAGTTTCCAAATGAGATTCAACATAGACACGGGCTCAGCTCAGACCCCGGCGAACTTGTAGGTGGACTGGCGACCCTGGAACTGGTCCCAGCCGCCCACTTTCCAGGTAGCAAGGTCGTCCTTCGGGAAGTTTCACTTGGTTTAGCTACGTTTGTCGGGACAGCCCTGGGTATAGAGCCGTTCGGAGCTATGCATTCGCACGCGGCAGCGATTTGCTAGCCGCGTTCTCCTCTTCTCGGCACCTGTTAGACCCTGGACGTCGTCAGGGTTGATGCATGGATGCTCTGTTCTCATAACGGATGAATGATTAAACCCTGGACGTTTTGGTGTTTTCCAGAGCAGAGCCATCCGCAGAACGAAACGTCCCCATTGCTGGGACAACTGGAAGGACCAGTACTTGTAATCGGGAGTCTCACATGAATTCGAAAAGTGAAGTTTTCGAACGAAGCCGCAATCGACGTCTTTTGAATACAAAGAAGCTTTCTTGCGCGACTTAGGTCAGGTACTGCTTGCACCTTATTGGTCGCACAGACTTCGTGCAACTAAATTCGAAAGACTAAAGCAAGCCAGTGCTGCTGGATTGCAGATGTATGCTCCCGCCCTTCTGCCTCACAACTGCCAGGCCAGGGAGACAACTCGATACGGCAAAAGCATGTGATGCTGCTGATACGCAAGCCTACAGAGTCCACACAAGGTCGCTTCCCGGGAACATCCCATTACTGTGACGTCTGCGTGAGGCTTACTGCGATTACGGCACAGTCCACGCATGTCCACGCAGTGACCAGTACAGAGCCTCACCAGAGACTGGTCCAACACGGGCGCCCCACTGAGCCCGGAAGCCACCCCGCAAAATGAATCACCACAGAAATCACGAGGGTGGGGCAACCTTCCAAACACATCGCTAAAAAGTCACTATGGCGGGGTAGCCTCCAAAACGCATCACTAAGAAATCACCGAAATCACTAATTCTGAAGAAGTAGTAATTTTGGAGTGATTTTGGAGGGAATCTGCGAAAACACTCCGAATTGAGGCCCTCGAGAATCACTCCAAAATCACTAGTTCGGAGTGACTCCAGACTCCGGAGGGTATCTCCAAAAAACACTCCGGCATCACTACACAATCACTCTGAAATCACAATTGCCCTAGGAACTGGTCACTTTAGAGATTCCAAAATCACTCCAAAATCACTCCGAAATCGCTATTGCATAGGGAATTAGTGATTTCGGATTCGTTCTGTAGTAATTTCGGAATGATTCTCGGAGATTCCCTCCAGAATCACAGAAATCACTACGGAATGATTCCGAAATCATTAATTAATTCCCTAGGAACTGGTGATTTTGGAGCCCCTCAATTCGGAGTGATTTCGGAGCTGTGTCAACGTTACCACGAATCGATGGTATGATATATGGTTGCGGGCTCGCACGTCGCGAGACATGATACATATAATACACATGAGTTCTGCATCAGGCCTGAAACAAGATTCAAGCGGCTGCAGATGAAATCTAATTAAGTCTTGTCTGCCAAAACTAACTGACGAACGAATCACATGTCGCTGTTTCCGCTGTGTTCGCAAAAGCGCATTACTAATAAATCAATAGGCTCGGAGATGCCACCACGAGCTGGATTCCAGAACCAATATTCTGAATCACCAGGAAACTAGGAAATCACGCCGAAATCATTAATGAACAGTTGTAAATTGTGTTGGGTTCTCAATATATTTACCACGAATTGAGATCTTAACTTTACTCGAGTACGGGCCTGCCACGTTGCGAGATCCCCACCTTCACCGCCCTGCCACCTTGCTTGAAACCAACTTGCAAATTCCAAGTGACGCAATAGCTTCTCAAAGCGCCAAGTGCGCAGCGGCACCAGGTTGCGGGTTTGCAAGCGGCGGTTTCCGACCTGAACAGCGGGAAGGCGGGAATGTCTCTGGCTGCGTGTGGGCGTGTGCTCAAAATCGGACGAGCTCGCCACGATCTCACCATCAAGCTTCATGGCCTGGGCGAGGAGATCTGTAAAGCATGACGACTCGGAAAATCGCGTTGCACATGTGCGCACGGCGCCAAGAATTTGTAAGCCAGTGACGAGTCTGCACTGGAAAGCAGTATGTTAACTCATGTTATTGAGCCAAAGTTGCGTTGCATGTATAAAGAAGTCAGTCACGGTGCCCACAAGGTGTATCACCGGACGTCTTGGCGCGATGCCCACAGGTGGATCATCGGCCTATGTACATGACGTATCATGACATGTGGCTCATAGCAGAAAACGCGATACCTACGAATTGGACTAGGCATCGAAGTCCGTTCGCACATCAGCTTTCTACGCAGGCAGCCGGTATGGCAGTTGAATCTGTCCCTGAACATATGGTAGCCAAGATGGCCCTCTCATGCTTCATACACGCATGCCTCTACACAAATTGGCAAGCGGGATGGTCGTGTTTGCATTCTCTGTACCGCTTTTCTGACCTGCGACACGTGTTCCGGTGGGACATAATGGGAAGATGCCCGTGTCTATGTTCTGATCATTTCTGATCCAGTCAAATGACTGGCATCTCGAACTCTGTCTTTGTTGGCATGTTAAATGCCAGGGTCGGTTCAAGACCTTTCCAAGGCTGGAAGTGCCAGGAGACAAGCTTTCAATGCCTTCCCGCAGAGCTTCGCAGTCTCGTTGAGCTCTTGGTTGCACGGGTGCTTTGTCGCGTGCACACAGCATTCCGCATCCTCAGGGATAGCCTGTGCGGCTTCGCGACAACGGTGTGCATCTGGTTGACCGAACAGTTCTGTGGAAGCTTGCCCAAGAGGTGTACATCATACATACCATTCGTTTCTCCACCACAACACATCCACTTAATCAGCTCATTCGTCATGCGGAACCGTTCTCAGAGCCGTAGGGCCAACAATTAAGCAGAGCCAAAGTCTTGTATATGAACGAAAACGCAAACATTCATGTGACAGATCGCCGTTACGGGCCAAAGCTCAAGATGCAGTCTATTGTTCTCTCGTCGCTCGCCGTTTTCACGCTCCAATGCAAACACTGCGCACCACGGGCCAGCAGCGCTGCAGACCCCTCGGTGACACTTCGCAGGGCGGCCGCAGCGCGCCCAGCTCTGAGCCTGAAGGGTTGGGACTCGGCACTCCAGCACCCTCCGGCCTCGCAGGCAAGAGCGCAGAAGCTCTGAGGGCCAGGCCGAACACGGCAATCGCGGCTCCATCGCGAGAGGCAGCGGTCCTGGGCACTGCTGGAAGTTGATTGCTCTGCAGCTAGGATTTCGTCTCACAAGCTGATTGCGCAACTGCTGCACAGTGTGCATGATCAGAGCCCCAAGTAGACATGGAGGGTGAACGAAAGGCCTTGTTGCTCGCAGCACCACTCAACTGGACGGTCCGCGTGTCGTTGGGAGGCATGTCCTGATCCCGATACCACGTTGCAGTGTAGAGACTGCAAGCTTGAGAGCGGAACACCCGGACCACGAAAGAACTACACGACTGCAGGTCCTGCGTCGCTGTTACTTCGGAAACATCTGCAAGTTTGATAGGTGTCTCGAGCGGGGTTTTTCGAACTCGAATCTTTGAGAGTTGGAACGTATTATATGTTGGACGAGATTCGAAAGATTGAAAGTTTGAAAAGTTTGGAGAATAAAAAGTTTGAAGTTTGAAAACCTGAGAGTTTCGAGTTTGAAAGTGGGCGCGAGTTTGGAGTTTGAATTTTGAAGAGCAATTCAGCTTGGAAGTTTGAAGCCGCGGCAACGCGCGTTGCACGAGGGAGCAAGGAGAAGGACCGCTGGAGACGCGTAGGGGTTCACAGAGCAGCCCTCAGGCTCGAGTTCGAAAGTTTGAGAGCTTGGAGTTTGAAAGTTTGAAACCCAGAAAGTTTGAAAGTTTGAAAGCTTCGAAGATTGAAAGTTCGAAAGCTTCAAACTTTGCGGGGGTTGAAGGGTGGAAAATTTTAAAACTTCGAAAGCTTGAAAGTTTGAGAGACGCGGGGTTCGAATGATTGGCATTTTCAAAGTTCGAGAGTTTGGGAGTTTGAAGGTTTGTAAGTTGGAAGAGTTTGAAGATTGAATGCATTGAAGGTTTGAGTTTGAAACCATGTTGGCGTCCTCATGTTAGGGCCTGGGCTCGGTAATGCCAACATGCACACGCCGATGCCCGTAACAAATCGCGCCCCCTGTGATGTGTGATCTCACAACAGACACACGCCGATGCCCGTAACAAATCGTACCCCCCCCGTCATGTGTGATCTCACAACAAATACATTGACATACAAATACACGCCGATGCCTGTAACAAATCGTACCCCCCGTCATGTGTGATCTCACAACAAGCACAAGCCGATGCCAGTAACAAATCGTACCCGCTGTGATGTGTCATCTAGATCTGACATCATACAGTACACACGACGATGCCCGTAATAAACCGCAGCCCCTGTCCTGTGTGATCTCCCAATAGACACACGCCGATGCCCGAAACAAACTACTATTACTACTACTACGGCTACGACGACGACGACGACTACTACTACTACTGCCTGCCTAGCCTGTGTGCTGAAGAAATATGGCGAACTGGTATGATGTTCGGAACCGCCGAATGAGGGAGCATGTCAAAGATCAATTTGATGAACCGAAAACACCAAATGACGGGGCGTGCTTGAAATATACGGTGAACCGGAATCGCCCAAAGAGAAGGCGTGTTTAACATACATGTATAACTATCCGAAAGCACCAACTCAGGAAGCGTAAAGCAATGAACCGAAGATGCTGAATGAGGGGGCGTGTTTAAGATCGTCGACTGAAGGGCTTTGTTTAAAATATGCCATGTGCCGGAATCGCCAAATGGGGGCGTACTTAAGATATGTGGTGAGGCGCTACGAAGCCCGGAATCGCCAAAGGAGGGTGGATGCTTAAGATATACGGGGAAGCGGAATCGCCAAAAGACAAGGTGTGTTTAACATATAATATTGAGCTGGCGAGCAACATCCATCCACGTGACCGCATGAGACATGAGATATACGATGAACCGGAATCGCCAAAAGAGAAGGCGTGTTTAAGACATACAATTAACCGAAAGCACTTAATGACGAAGCGTGATACCAAATGGGGGCGTACTTAAGATATGTGGTGAGGCGCTACGATGTCCGGAATCGCCAAATGAGGGTGGATGCTTAAGATATACGGTGAAGCGGAATCGCCAAAAGAGAAGGCGTGTTTAACATATAACATTGAGCTTGAAACAACATCCATACACGTGACCGCATGAGATATACGGTGAAGCGGACTCGCCAAAAGAGAAGGCGTGTTTAACACATAAAATTAACCGAAAGCACCAATTGACGAAGCGTAAAGCGATGAACCGAAGATGCTGAATGAGGGGGTGTGCTTAAGATCGTCGACTGAAGGGCTTTGTTTAAAATATGCCATGTGCCGGAATCGCCAAATGGGGGCGTACTTAAGATATGTGGTGAGGCGCTACGAAGCCCGGAATCGCCAAAGGAGGGTGGATGCTTAAGATATACGGGGAAGCGGACTCGCCAAAAGAGTAGGCGTGTTTAACATAGAATATTGAGCTTGCGAACAACATCCATACACGTGACGGCATGAGATGTACCATGAACCGGAATCGCCGAAAGAGAAGGCGTGTTTAGGATACATGTATAATTATCCGAAAGCACCAACTCAGGAAGCGTAAAGCAATGAACCGAAGATGCTGAATGAGGGGGCGTGTTTAAGATCGTCGACTGAAGGGCTTTGTTTAAAATATGCCATGTGCCGGAATCGCCAAATGGGGGGGCGTAATCAAGATATGTGGTGAGGCGCTATGATGACCGGAATCGCCAAATAAGGGTGAGGCTTAAGATATACGGTGAACCGGAATTGCCGAAAGAGAAGGCGTGTGTAACCTATAATATTGAGCTTGCGAACACTATCCATACACGTGAGATCATGTCGGGCCCTTCAACCTCTGAAACTGTTGAAACTCAAACTTTCAAAATTTCAAACTCTCAAACTTTCGAGCTCGAAACTCTGCGGACTTTCGAACTTTCAATCTCGACGCGTTTCAAACCTTCAAACTTTGCAAACTTTCAATCGTTCGAACTCTCAAACGCGCGAAGTTTCGTTCCTTTCAAACTTTCCATCTCTGAAACTTTAAAAAACCTTCGAACTTGAAACCTTTCGCAATTTCAAGCCTTCGAACTCTCAAACTCGCGACCACAGCCACTAGCCGCAGAGCGAGTCTGAAGCCAACCTTTCAAACTTCGAACTTTCAAACTTTCGAACTTTCAGACCTTCGAACATTCAAACTTTCAAACTGTCCAACTTGCAATTTTTTGAAACCGTCGAACCTTCGAATTTGCAAACGTTCGAAGTCTCAAACATTCAAACTTATCGAACTCGACCGCGGCAAAACCTTGAAGTTTGAGTTTGAAGCCGCCAGTCGAGCTCGAAAGTTCGAGAGTTAGAGAGATTGAAAATTTGAAAGCTTCGAGTTTGAAAAGATCGAAGTTTGACGCCGGCTAGCTTGTGCATACCAAGGTGCACAAACATTCGAACTCTAGCACTTTTCGACCCTTCAAATCTTCAGAGTTCAACACTTTCAAACTTCAGCCTCCAAACTTTCTAACTTTCAAACCTTCGAGTTCGAACGACCTCGCTCGGGACACCATGCAAGTTTGCGCTCGATTGGGCCGCTCCAGCGCGATTCACGAGTCATCATGGAGCACATACAATCAGCCTGACTAAGATGCCATGGCGCTGGTGCTGGCGATGAGCGCATGAACACAACACAAGACATGACTGCACCGCGAATCCTTGACGAAATGTGTGGCTTGTCTCTCCCGGCTGGCCCGGCTTCTGCCTGCTGCTCCGTATCTACGTTCCTGAGAGCGCGGAGTTCCGCATCTCCGATGCAGGGATGGGATGCGACTACTTCGGCCTGGCGACTGCAGACAAGGATGGAATGTGCTGCGGTCCTGTGGGCAAGATGCGAGACAAATCCTTAGCTCCAGGAGCTGCGCACCAACCATCTAACGCGCTTGTCGACTTTCATGAGTGCCGATGGGACTTGCCTGATAAAATGGATCAAAACGAAGCTGGGACATGTGTGCCATGGGGCGGATGCAGCAAATCCATCGTCTCGCTAGGGCTCAGAATGGCGTTGGCCAATGGTATAAGTTGTCCGGCCCTTGGAATGACACCAATGTGACGACGAGCCCAGACACGTCCAGATCAGTCAAGCGACGCATCTGTTATAGAGCTCGGCACGCTGGAATGGCCTGACACGGCCCGCTAAGGGATGGGTTTGGGCTTGAAAATCGTCTTTGCTTCTGGGCCATTTAGCGAACTGCAGTCAAACATTTGCCGAGAAAAACAAAATCGAGGAAGGGTACGACATTACTGAGTGACGAGAGTGCATCAGCTGGAAATCTTGATTCCCGACATACGGAAAAAGAGGTGAGCAAAAACACAGTCTCAAAGCCAAAAACGAGATCGCGGGGCACTTAGGCATAGCTGGGTGCGCTTTGCGACCCCTGAGGTCCCGGCCATGAGAGGCTCCCTGCCATAGCCTCGCAGCAATTCGCCGCCACGCAATCACAGAAACAGAGAAAGCACTGCTGCCTCCAAGCGCTGACAGCATGCGGCCAGGCGCAGCGATACCCAGCCTTCCAATGCAGAGCCCATCACAGCCTCGTTTAACAGGAGATCCCTGGCACCTGGAACGCTTCGCACGCCTAGCCGCCTGACGAAGGCTCAGATAGCCATAAGGCAAAAGCACCGTGCAAAATGTGCCAAACGCACTAGCCTCGCAAAATCATGTGCGAAGTGGCAACAGTTCCGGCTGAAGAGGTCGTACGCAGTTCCCGGGTATTCCTCATGTGTGCCAACAGCACGACCAGCATTGTTAACTACGGAATGTCTGCGAGCCTCCACCATCTCTGATATCATTTGCGCAATGTCTTCCTCTGCCCAAAACATGAAACTAGCACAGTTCACAGGTATCCAGTCTGTCGAGATGGGGAAGCCGCGGTGCTGCGGTCTGTGCAGCCGAGGTCCACCTGCAAACGCCAGGACTGCAGTAATCAGTTATGAGTAAATGTAGTCACAAAGGGCCCCAGCGGTCTGACGGTAGTGGTGGCCAGGACATTGCATCGGATCAACACATCCGATGCCAGCCGTTGACCTGTCTGCAAGTGTTGGCGGTGGTTAGACTTGAGCTTGACTACCGCCTTGATAGAACCGCGCCGTAACACCACTCCAGGCCGTCAACCTCCGAAGCGTTGGGGAACACAGGCTACTCCGAGTGCTGCATTGCGTCTGCAAGTGCCGCGCCTCAACCCCACAGTGGAAAGCCCCACCCAGGCCCAGCCAAGGACAGCACTGGGGTGCTAAGACCTAGCACATTATCCACATACACCGGTGCCCACGCCCGAATTGGAGGACAGTAGCCGATAGAAGGCCTGGTTCATCATCTGTAACCATTTGGCCTCATAGAACCACATGCAGACATGAGCCTTGAGCTCTGGGCTCCATGCTGCTGCGCTGATCAGCTGTGGCCTCGCCGACATCGTAGATGTGGATCCGTACAGGCCGCAGGCGTGATCCAACAAGGGGCTCTTCCTGCACAAAACTATGAGTGGGTGTGGACCATCTTGACTGCTTGCTGCGTGTGGGCCATCTGTGGTTTCAGAAGCAGAGAACATCAGAATACCCAGGGAAGCTACCTCATCGCAAAGAGCGGACGTGCCAAGCTTGCACGCACGCATGACCTGCTAGCATGTCCCACGGAGCCGCAACGACAGACTGGTATGAAACTGTGGCCCGCTGCACCTCCTGTGGCTTCACCGAGCAACGCATGTCTTCTCCAACCCTCTCCAAAGGCTTGATGAGGTCGATCTCCTCAAGCGTGTCTGGAGCAAATGCGAAACCACAATGACGGAATCATGGGGCCTCCAACTTGACCTTGACCTCACTTTGCGTGTGCACTGACGCTGGTCGTCTCCGTACCTGTACTGCGGCATGGGAACCTTCAATCTTGGATCTTCAATCCGGGAGGCCTATTGACTTCAATAGGCCCTGTTGAATTCAATAGGGTTGCTGGATTGAATTTTGAAGATGGCCTGGAACAGTTTTCTGTGCAATCCTCAACCTTCCATCCGGAGGCCTGTTGAGTTCAATAGGGTTTGCGTGCGAACAGCATGGGGCACATACCGACGCCAGCGCCCACTCGGGTTCAGGCCTTCTGGACCCAAACAGAACGCTGGCCTGATCATCTGGCAAGTAGTCTCCACCCGGTGCCACATGATTTGGGCTCTGGCCCGAGTATCACGCGGCCGTCTTCAATACCGTGGCATGCTCCCTGAATGATCTTGCTCAGTGGACAGTGAGACAGACCTGGACACCGAAAGACCTGGCCTCCCATCTCCAGCCGTTCTTCAAGCTGACAAGGAGCTCCTTCCTTCTGTGAGAGCCTGCGCGAAACATCACGAAACCCCTGGACCCACACTGAACACTTCTGAACCTTCGACCCAATGTGACCTCTCTGAGAATTTCGCGAAGGGCCATGGGCAGCTTCAATGCCCTGGCAGGCGGGGAGGTTTACACGAGTCATGGCTAAACAAGATGTGTGTTCAAAAGCAGGCCTTCAAGCTGTAGGTTCATTAACCGTTCCTTCTAAGCGATTGTATGACATATTGGTTGCTGAATGGTGAATGAAAAGTGTACGGGAAAAGCTGTTTCATGCAGGTCTCAAATCATCTGCGAGACATCTAGCCAGCGACCGTGAGCAATCGGAGAAGTCTCTGTGAAAAGTCTGTGCACCAAGAAGCCATTTTCACAAACCGGTAGCTTGACCAACACCAGGACCGGACTGCTACCAATCCCGCCACCCAAAAAAACCGCCACCGTGCTTTTCACCTTTCATGAAAGCGCCAGAATGCCCCGAAACGCGCAAATGCGATTCCAGTGCCTGCACAAAGTGCTGAGGGGGGAGGGCAGCAGAAGCGAGGCAGAGACGGCACAAAGTTCTGAAGAGGGTCGGGAGTGAGTGGAGGTCGCAGCACTGCGACTGGTGGCAAGCAGCCTTCGGGGTACAGCAACTTGTCGAAGTGGGACCGTCATCAAACCCTAAGCCCCAAACCCTCAGCTCAGTATTTTCTAGACTTGATGCGCCAGACAACGTATTGCTACGACTCCTGCTAAAGAAGCTATTGCGATCGGCCCTATGGCCCTATACGGCTCATTAACAGGTGTGACCAAGACGGGCTTTTTGCACTGCTGGCGTGCAAAACATCTCTATCGTTGCACCTGCTCAGGCCCCCCAAGTGACGTCGTGGCCTCGCCGCAGCTCGAGCTGAACTGGTCTTGAAGCGAGGAAGCCAACGCCTGCGCCTGCGGTCAGCTGATAATCTGGGACATGATAGAATTTTCAAGCCCTCTGTCAGAACGTTCCTTCAGGAACTGCCCCAACGGGGCTAGACCGCGATCGGTGGCCTTACTGACATCGCCGGGATCACCTGGGCAACCGGCCATTGAGCGCGCGAACCCCTACGGCCCTACGAGGGGCCCAGGCTGGAGTTGCAGGCTTGTGGGACCTGCTCTGCAGCATGTGCCGTGGTCTGCCACAAGAGCGCCAAAGTGGACATGTCGTCAGCCTCATCCTCGGAGTCGTCTGCATCCATGCGATACGTGCGAACCTTGACCTGGTCAGGAGCTGACTTCAGACTGCAAACATCTTCAGACGCTCCATCGGCGGTGTGCCTCAGACAGCAGGCACTTCGACATGGCCGAACTGTCTGCGCCCACCTTGTCTGGCCTGGCCTGCGACTTCGGCATCATGTGGCCAAGAAAAGTCGCTGCCGGAGCTACAGTGCAGTCCTCGATATGGCAAGCCAACTCATCCACCTGCTGCGCTTGGAGGCAACGCGCACGCCACACGCCACTTTCCTCCGCCTCGCCTTGTCAAACAGACGGCGCTCGAAGTCCTGTGCGCGCAGGCACTCAGGTGATGAAGCCTGACTTGACACACCACGCCTGCATCTTCTTCGTCATGTCTGCCAACATGTCCAAGACAGGCTGCAGCGTACCTGAAACAGAAGACCAGCACTAATCACTAATCAGCACCTGGTCCGGCAGGATGCGACATGATGCGAGGATGCTAAGCCGGCCACTTGCAGGGTCGGACATGGAGCCCAGTTTCTCCTGCAACGCATCGCACAAAAAGCGAGAAGTCGCCACATCACGACCACTTCGACACCTGGCCTTGCACTTCAGGCACCTCGGCTCCAAGGACTCCTGAGATTGGCAGCTTTGCAGAAGCCCGCCCACTTTAAAGCCAACTCGGAGTTTTGAAAAAGACGCCTTCCTAAGGCGATCTAAAGCCGAGAAGCCAGTCCGGAGCGCCGGCCTCTGTCGCGTCGCGCCTTTTGGGCAAGCATCTCGAAGATTCGAGACTCGAGACCCGAAGATTGCACTAGCCGTGACCCATCTTGCGTTTGGCCTGCTCTGAAAAAGGTTCAACCGAAAAATTCCAAAAATGCTTCTCGTAGAGCTCGGACCCACTCCTGGGAATACAAAGAAGTGCTCGGGCGTATCAAAAGGTAAGAATTTAGCCGAAAGCGGTTAAATCCGCCAACCTGCACAGCACAATCACCGAATGCGACTCCTGAGAAAACATGCCGCACCCAAACCCTAAAAAACCCTGCAGCGCCAGGTCTGGATCTGAGGTACAAACTCTTCCAGAGCCACGGCATTTGCCAGACTCGTGAGCAAACGGCATGGCGCAAAGCTCAGGCTGGTCAAAGAGACAGCGAAAGACTGGCTGGCTAGAAAACTGAGCGTTCGTCCTTCAACAGGTTCAATGATTCAACGGTTCAGGGTTTAGGGTTTAAGGTTACTCGGTGATGTGTATGTGCAAGTAGCCACAAGCCATGAGCAAGAGACTTAGCGCTTTCATTTGAGAGTCAATGAACCACATAACAGGTGCTGTTCGGCACATAGCCGCAATGGCATTCCGCAAGCACGATTCTGGGCTGTCAGGGTAGCAAATACACACGGTACACAAAGCATGACAAGGCTGCTGTTTGCCAAGGTTCGCACGATATCAGTCTGAATGTGAATTTATCGATATTGAACCCTGTCGCACCCCATGTACGATGTGCCCACCTTACGGTCTGTACTTCGACTCTTGAGTGGATGGTTATAGAAGGAATCTCAATCACATGGAAACCAATATATTATAAATTAAGTCATTTTGACCGAAGGTCGTAATGTAATCCTCAACGCAGCCCCACCCCACCCTGCCCCACTCGTCGGCGCCCTGTTGCCAGTGAGGGTTTAAGGCTTAGGGCTTAAGGGTTTAGGGCCCAGGGTTTCAGGTTTAAGAGAGCATCACGAGCAACAGCTGCAGTTGCGTGGGAGTAAACATTTTTCTTTTTGTATCGTCTTGTCTTGCCGCGTTTCAGCAAGTGAACGCTAGTGAAGAAGATGTTTTTTGTTGTCGCGCTTCAGCAAGCGAACGGGCCAGAGTTTGCGAGTCCAAAGCGTCTCAGCGGGCGGCCCAAGGCCCAACTTTAGAGCCCAACAACAGCAAACGCAAACGCTATTTTCAAAATGCTGAAAATCTCGGCAAGAAGCAACTATGGCACAGTGAACGTGAAACGGGCAAAAAGCTACAACAAGTTGCAAAATCACCAGCGTTCACAACAAAACCCCAAATCCATGCAAAAACCTAGCAACAACACAAAAAACACATCAAGACCGCTTGAAAACAGGACCACAACACAAAACAACCAAGACGAACAGAGGAGAACCGAGGAGAAGCGAGGAGAACCGAGGAGAACCGAGGAAGAACCGAGGAGAACCGAGGAAGAACCGAGGAGAACCGAGGAAGAACCGAGGAGAACCGAGGAGGGTCCAAATATGGTCCAAAGCCCTCCAAGTGACAAAAATAGTCAGAGAAGGGTAAATTCGAGCGTTTGCAGTTTTTTCTGCATTCTCTGACATTTTTGCTGTTTCTGATGCTGCTATTGAAGTTTCAGCTGAATTTCAATTTCGACTACAGCACAGAAAACACAACCGTTTCATGTTCACTGTGCCAGAAATGCTTTCCCTTGCCAAACTTTGCCAAACGCGAAACTCAATTGCGTTTGGCCACACGCAATCTACTTTTGCTACATCGTCTACAGGGCGTTGGTTTAGAGCTTCGGGTCTTGCCCACGGTTTGTGGCCGGCACAGGGGGCCCAAACTCAAGCCAACACAACCAAGACAAGATCACCAGCATTCCACTCCATGTAACAATTGGGCGAGCACGTCAACTCTCGCAGCCATAACGTCTTACAGCGCTTGGCATTGTTCATGTTCTTCTCGTGTCGGCGCTACAGTTCCAAACTGCTGTCACTAAGGCCCGCCATGCCATGAACTAAAATATCACCCAACGCAAGAAGTCAGCAATGACACAAGCCTTCGGTTAAATTTTGATATATCAAATCAGACTTCAAATGCGTGAGTTTGGGGTATCGATGCTACGATATAAATGTTTTCTCACCAAGCGTCTTGTAATAGAAGTTGATTATGCCAATCCGCAGCACGGTCAGTTGCACTGAACCCTCGCAAAACCCTTGCAAGCAAACTCGATCCTCTTGTTTTTGCGAAGCCTAAATCGGCCGGGTTCCTACCTACGGGCACCTACCGGGCTCAAAGCAGGTGCGCCTCTTTTTGGAACCACAAAGGGCTGCGGTGCGCAGTGGTAAAAGCGTGAACTGTACAAGTGAAAACACAAAGGGTAGCCTAGCTCAAGCCCTTGGGTGTTGGGTTTAGGGATTCCTACAGGATTTCTCGCACCCCCCTCCAATGCCGAGGGCTTGGCGGTAATTGTGAAACTTGATGGTACCGTTATGCTTGATGGCATCTTTCCTCATGAATACTTTATCGTATGATCTGTCTCGCTGAGCCCTGTGTGTAGAGTGCTGGTCCCGAACCCCTCTCTCGATGCAGGTTTCCGAAGGCATCTGCGCGTCAAGCCAAAAGGAACGCACCGCCGGTGCGCAGGCAGGGTCGGGAGTGCTTTTGTGCCCCTAGTCGGAGCCTCCCGTACATTCAGTCTCACATTGGTAGCGGAGCTAGTTAGATCCTTCGTGCCATGCCGAACCATGCTAGCCACGGACCGAATGACGGCCCGACTACGACTGCTACTACCACCCCTGACGGCGATGGCGCTGTGAGAGGCGATGATGAGTTTGATGATGCGGGAGGCGATGTCATAGAGCTTCCTGTCGGTGACGATCAGTGGAACGACTCCTCTTGGAGTCGCTGGGGAGATCGTGAGTCTCAGTCGTGGGGAAGCGACCGAGCGCAATACGGTCAGCGATGGGACACTGATGCTAACATCGGCTGGGGGCGGCGCACTAGCTGGGATGCGACGACTGCTACGACCGGTGCAGCCGCCGACCGCTGGAGCAACTCCAGCGAGGACCCTTGGTCACACGGTCGTGACCCTTGGACAGGAGCGCGAGACGATGATTGGCAAGCACGCGACCACGGATGGCCGGGAGCTCAAGGAGATACCTGGGCGGATGGTCGAGCTGGCCGTTTTCAAGGGAGCGATTATGTTGACCGAGGATCCGGAGCATGGGGCGAGGGGCGAGTCTTTGAGGAAAAAGGACTCGCTTGGAACGGTTGGTCCCACTACGACAATGGCGGCTTCCAAGGTCAGCGGGGTGATCCTGGAGGCTACTCAGGTGGAGGAAGAGCTTCGGAGAAGTTGGCGATTCCTACCTTTACCGGCGAGGATACTGAAGATGTTGGTGGGTCTGCAAGGAGTTATCTTCGCCAAATCGAGGCGTGGAGGCGCATGACACTTCCCCCTGCCTCCCAGCAGGGACTCGTCCTCTACCAGAACCTGGGCGGCAAAGCGTGGATTGCTGCCGAAGAACTTTCGGTCCCTCGCTTGCGATCAAGCGATGGGGTGAGCTACTTCGTCGCGTGGATCAACGCGAGGTTCCTCGACCTGGAGGTGGCCCGCATCGGCAAGGCGTTCTCGGACTTCTTTCGGCGCCTAAAGAGAAGAGCGGGGCAATCTATCAGGGAGTATAACACCGAATATGACCGCCTACATGCTAGACTACGAGAGGTTGGCTGCAGCATCCCCCAAGAATGTGCAGCTTGGTTGTACATAGACCGTTTGCAGCTTGAAGAAGCTCAGGAGCTCAACTTGCTGGCGAGCGTCGGGAACGAGTACAACCTACATCGTCTACAGCAGGCGGCGGTGCTACATGACCGAGGGCACCGGAAACCCTGGGAGAACGGCAGGGCACGCAAGCCCCATACCGCCCACTTCACTGCGGGCGGCGATGGCGATTCTGGTGATGAGGACTTCGGCCAGGCCGAGGACATCGAGCTCGAAGACGGGGTCCCTGAGGACGTTGCGGTGGCCTACGCGACCCACCAGAGCGCCAAGGAGAAGTACAAGGAGCAGACCAAAGCGAGGGGCTACCAAGGCGACCGAGGGCCGCCTGCCGCGAAGGATGGAAACAACCGCAAGAGCGAGCTCAGTCGCGACGAGAAGGTGAAGTTGATGAAGGCCAGGTCGTTTTGCGGGAGCTGCGGGAAGAAGGGCCATTGGCACCGGGATCCGGTGTGCCCCAACTATGCTACATCGGCGCAGGGCGCCGCCAAGACTGCGCCGAAGGAGGTCGAGATGTGCCACCATGTTCCCGCCGAGGTTTTCTCTTTGAAGCACGACGGCGCCGCGCTCTTGGGCATCACTGACACAGCGTGTGCTAAGGCCGTGGCCGGGACCATGTGGCTCCAGCAGTATAGCGACGCCTTGAAGCTCATTGGCCAGAGTCCCGAGTTGATTCGAGAGTCCGAAGCCTTCAGATTTGGGACTGGAAAGGTGCACCACTCTTCGTTCCATGTGCTCATTCGTTTTCGCCTTGGGAACAGGACCGTTGAGATGAAGACCTCCATCATCAACGGCGACGTTCCTCTTTTGATGTCGAAGCCAGCCTTAGCACAGTTGGGGATGGTGTACGATGTTGCTGAGAACCGGGCCGACTTCACAAAGGTGGGCCTCCGGAACTTTGATTTGGTGACCACCTCTTCGGGTCACCCTGCTATCCCGATTATCCCGGCGAAGCCGGAGCATGGAGCCGAGAAGCTCGTTGTCGGAGAGACTTGCACCTCGGGCAGCTCGCAATACATGGCTTTTGCATTGTCGCGGGTAGATGCTGTCAGGTTCTCCCCGAACGAGTTCACAATGTCGGACCCCGAGGAAACCCCAACTGAACCCAAGGCCATAACCAAGAGTACTACTTCAACGACTTCGACTACTACGGTTACCAAGGCCCCTCCATACAGGATTTTCTACGATAAGAAACTCAGCCCCGAAGTCAAGGAGCTCCTCACACATGATCAACTCTGCAGTGTGTCCTTTATGACATGGTGGGAGAAGACCAAGATCAATTCGGACTTCTGGTTTGAAGGGGAGCACAATTGGTTTCGTATACATGTTGTGCCTCGAAGAGCCTTGTGTAATCCCTCAACATGGAAAACCCAGTATACCGTGCAGAAGGGCATGCTCCTGCAGTCGATCGGGGATCTTCGTGTCACCGAGGGCTTCTGTTGTAGATCAGGAAAGCCGCTTGAGACCGCAGTCGATCAGTGGAAGTGCAATCGTGATGAAAGTTCTTTTCCGCTGCTCTGGGTTGGCAGAACTTCTTTCGCGAAAGTGCGATCTAGCTCGACGCCCCTTCCCTCGTCGCCTTCGTTCGGAAATGGCATGCAGCAAGCCGCCGGCGATTTCGAAGATGACCAAAGCCGAGCTTCTCAGCGAGTGCAACCGGGTGGGCTTGGTGGTCCATCGCAATTGGACTTGCGAAGAAATCAAGGCGACGATCATGGAGCACCGCATGAACGACCCGAACCAACAGCAGGCCACGGTGATGAAGTCGATCACCAGCCTCACGCTGCCGGAGCTCAAGGAGAAAGCCGACCAACTGGGAGTCTTGTACCCCAGTCAGGTGACGAAAGGCAACCTCATGCGGCTCATCAGGGACCACACGAAGACGCCCGGCACGGAGCTCATGAAGATCGGCAAGTTCAAGGGCTACGAGTACCAGGAGGTGCCGAGGTCCTACGGCATGTGGGCAGCGCGCGAGATCCGAATGAGTCCGAACCCACATGTGGAACTTGTTCGCTTCGCCCAGTGGTGGGAGGCAAAGGAGTACGAGACCCACTACGGCGACCGGGGCACGATCGAGGAGAACGCGACGGTACCGTACCCTTTGGACACCAGCAGCGTAGCGGCGTCTTCGGGAACGGGCTAGGACGTGGTGACCGAGGGCCGCCCACATGTGGAGAACCGCGACCCGACGATCCCGGCGAGCAGAGATCTACCATACGACCCGAGGACCACGAAGCGCGGGAACACCCATGGCGACTCTCCGGACATGGAGGCCGAAGCAGACCCCGCGACCCTCGAGGAGATCCGTGCCCTGGAGACCAGATTGGCTGTGCTGAAGCAGAAAGCGAAGGCGAGCTCCGCACCGCCCAAGGCCGGGAAGTGAGCGACGGGAGCCGCTCTTTCGGTGGGGAGCTCGCCCCTGCCAAGGAGCAAGCCGTAAGCGAGCACACGACAAAGCACTACGAGCGAGAAGGTCGGCGACAACAGCTACATGGAGGAGAATGCCAAGGGCACGACCGACCTGATCGTCTACTACCTGATGGGAGAGGGCACGTTTTTCGACCTCGGCGAGATCGTGACGATCTTCGTGAAGGTCGACAGGGGCAATATGAGCACGGTGGCGACCATTTTGGCGGTAAGACCACCGAGCACAGGAATGGATGTTGCGGGACCGACTACCACGCCGGCCTGCACGGGATCTTCGTGTCCAACGAGGAGTTCGAGCGCGGCATTGTCAATAACACGGTGAACTTTGCCTGCCAGACCGCAGCCAAGCAGGACCGCGACGAGTTCACGGCGGCCCTCCTCAACAAGGACTTCGACTTCAACACCCTCGGCAAGCTCTTGGACACCCTCGACTACGACCCCGTTAAGGCGACAAGAGACGGCGTCTTTGGTGGAAAGACCGGCGACAAAGTCAACTACTTCACCTACGGGATGTTCACTCATGGTGGTGTTGTTGGAACTACGACCAAGACCCGGGAGCACGACAACGTCGCCCGCTACTTGAACGGTTTCGCCCGGCACTACCTCGGTGACAAGGCCACCTGGACTTCAGTGAGTTTGTCGCGTAACACCGGGACCGAGGTGCACCACGACTTCAACAACCTCAAGGGCACGGCGAACTTCACCGCCTCGCTTGGACAAACAAAAGGGGGCGGTTTGTGGATCGAAGACAAGTCCGTGACCGAGAGCGACACCTACGGCGTCAAATGGAGGAGGACCGGAACCGGACAATGGCTGCCCGGGAGAATTCACGACACCAAGAACAAGTTTGTTGAGTTTGATCCCTTCCTCAAGCACGGCACGGAGGCATGGAATGGGAACAGATGGGCCGTCACCTACCACACCACCCGCAACCTCTACAAGGCCGGCGACGAGATGAAGAAGTTCCTGCGAAGATGCGGGTTTCCGTTGCCCAAAGGGACCGGCCGTCCTACTGGGGAGGTCAAGCTCGGCAACAAGCCGAAGGCGAGCGTGCGGAGGAGTATCTTCAACAATGCTGCCCGGATCAGCGTGATGATGGCGACCCTCATATCTGCCGCCGGGAACTACCTTGCTGAGCACGTCCATCCACAGGTCCAGCGTAACCCGGTCGTACTCTTCGAAATCGGCGACACGGAGAGTACCCAACAAGCAGCCGAGCTTGGCAAGGACGTTTTTGAGCCGATGACATGGGAGCGCTACCGTTCTCCCGAAGGAAAGACCGACGCCTTCCACATCGTGAACGGCGGCACTCCAAGGGAGCTACGACTTCACCTGGATGGGAAGTCTTCTGAATGCGACGAAGCCCTCCTCGAGCTGATGAAGCAACAGGTGAACGATGGAGGGACCGTGGTGCTCAGCGGCGGGGCTGGCGACACCCTCTTCGAGCACATCAACAAAGACCCTAGCTTGCGAGATTGCAAGCAACATGGCAACGAGGATGGGGTCAAGGTCTTCATGGTCTTCTTTAAGGGCAAGGAGACCACTCAACGTGTCGAAGGTCCCGGGCGAGTTCACGAAGTGAAAGTGGTCTCGTCCGAAGAACCGGGACAAGACAACGAAGCCCTGGCTATGGGAGCGACGGGAATATCCTTTGGCAAAGACACACCGAGACCGGTGGCCACAGCTCTCCGTCGTCTTCACCAGAACCTGGGTCATCCCCGACAAGAGGATCTCATCCGCCACCTACGCCTGGCGGGCTGTGACCAGTCCATCCTGAAGGCAGCTCGGTCAATGCGGTGCCAGGTCTGTGAAGCCAACACGGCCCCGAAGATAGCACGGCCGAGCACCATACCACCCATGGCCGACTTCAACGACACGCTGGGCCTCGACCTGTTCTTCTGCCACGACACGGATGACGTCAAGCACGCGTTCCTCTCCGTGGTCGATTACGGCACCACCTACCATACCGTGGTAAAGCTCGACGGCCAGTCCGGCGAGGACATCGAGGCGAAGTTCAATGAGATGTGGCTCGTTCCGTTCGGGCCCCCGAAAGCCGTGGTCATCGATCTGGAGGGCGGCCTAGAATCGGCCCTAGGGCGTGTGTGCGACTGGCACGGAATCGGAGTTCGGAGCGTAGCGACCCAAAGCCACTGGCAAGCCGGAGTTGTTGAACGGCAACAGGCCTGGTGGAAGCACATCTGGCAGAAAATCAGCTACCAGCTTTCCATCGGCGAAGACGAAGTGAATGTGGCGGTTGGAAAGGCCCCGAGGGTCCCCGAAGACCTCCAGGACCCTGATGGTGGTGCACATGTTATGTGGGACATCAGCGAGGATGCCAAGTACCAGAGGCAGTCGGCCATGAGAGCAGCCGCCCGCGTTGCTTTCCACGAAAGCCAGACCGACGGCCGATTGCGCAAGGCACTCCTACAAAGGACCCGTGTCGCGGCCCGTCCTCTTGATGTCGGTGAGAGCGTGCACTTCTGGCACAAGCCAAAGAACAGGCGGCAGGGATGCTGGAGTGGCCCTGCAGTCATCGTCGGCAAGGAAGGTGGCAACTACTGGATATCTAAAGGCGGGCGGTGCCGGCTTACATCAGCGGAACACCTTCGTCCTACTACAGGAGAAGAAGTGGGAGCTTTGCTGGCGATGAAGGGGACTCAGAAAGAAGCAGAAATGCTTCTTAACCACGACCCCGACGGCGACGAGGCGTTCGAGGAGGACTTGGAGGAGCTCATGCGCGACATCGACGAGGAAATGAGCTGGGCCGGTGACGAAGTTGATCAACCTGCTGACGACCTGGAGATAGAAGAGGACCTGGAGCTGGAACCCCTACGTGAACAAGACGCCACGCCAGCCCCAAAACGAAGGTTGAAGAGGAAAACTACCGCGGCCGAGCTCAACCCGGACCGCCACGAGGCAATGATGCTCAAGACCCACTTAACTACTCGTGGCCTCGAGAAGCGCAAGGAGAAGGAGCTCAAGTGGTCGGAGATTCCGGCCGAGGTCCACGAGAAGTTTCGTGAAGCGGAAGCGACCCAGTGGAATGAGCATCTGTCATTCGACGCTCTACAACCATTGTCGGTCGCTGAAAGCGACCGAGTCCGGTGGGAAGTCCCAGCCGAGCGAATACTGAGGAGCAGGTGGGCCTACAAGGACAAAAACTGGGCCCGCAGACGTGAAGGCGAAGATGTACCCTGGAAGTGTAAATCCCGGCTTGTGATTGCCGGGCACACCGACCCAGACCTCACCGACGAGAACCTCAGGCTGAGCACGGACGCCCCTACATTGTCCAGGAGCGGACTTGCCTGTATGCTCCAGAGAACTGCAGACGGTCTCCTGGAAGAAGACCCCTGGACATTGGCTGCAGGCGACATAAGATGCGCGTTCCTCACCGGAAGCTATCTCTCCCGGGAGCTCTACATGCATCAGCCGAAGACCGGGTTTCCCGGATTGCTTCCGGGACAGTTGGTGAGAATCAAGAAGAATGTCTTCGGCCTGGCCACCAGTCCCCATACATGGTGGCAGGATCTACAGAGTGGGATCAACGAGGTCGAGATTAAGATTCCCGAGGACACCGACGTCTACCGCTTCGAGCCCTCCGCCATGGACCCGTGTGTCTTTGCTTTGCGTAAATGGGACGGAGAAAAGTTCTACGGCACCCCTGTTGCCTACTTGGGATGTCACGTGGACGACCTGCTGATCGCCGGGCCAAGGAAGCTCCAGCACATCATCCAGCAGGCCCTCGCCGGAAAGTTCGAGATACAGACCTGGGAGGCCGACGACTTCGAGTGATTGTGGTCGCCGTCGACCACATCAAGATGTCCCAGGAGAAGTACGCGGAGACCCGCCTCTTTACCATCGAGGTCCCCGCCGGCATCGACGACAGCGAGGTCGCCCCGCAAGAGCTATCTAGCGACAACCGCAGCCTGATCGGTGCTTTGTCTTGGATGAGTGCCCAGACTCGCCCTGACTTGACATGTTCCGTCAGTATGGCGTAGCAGTTGCAGAAGGCCCCCACCTATGGAGACATTAAGTTCACCAACGCCATCGCGACGAAGGCCTACCAGTACCGCGAGCGAGGACTTGAGTTCAAGCCGATCCCAAAAGGGAACCTGATGATCCTCGTCTTCCATGATGCGGCTTGGGCGAACGTCCCGGAGGCAGACCCCGAGGAGGACTACTACGTGCTCACTCAGCAGGAGAACATCGACGGCCTCCAGACCGAGGGGCCGTATGCGAATGGCTGCATAAGGAAGGCCAAGAAAGGCAACTCCAAGGTCGCTTCACAACTCGGGATCCTGGTGATGTTTGCCGACAGGGCAGCCCTCGCCGGACAGGCTGGGAACGCCAATGTGGCGGACTGGAAGTCTCGAGCGGGACAAAGGGTTTGCAGGAGCACTTTCGGCGCAGAGACCCAAGCGTGCGCTGAAGGACTCGAGACGGGCCCATATGTGAGGTCTATGTACGAGACCTTGCTAAAGGGGGTCATGACGGCCGTGGACGCTGCTGAGCTGCCCATCCTTTGCCTGAGCGACTGCAGGTCGTTATACGACCATTTGAACAAGCAGGGCATCCCGAGGGTGCCTAGCGATAAAAGGCTAGCTGTGGACCTAGCCGCTCTGCGACAGGGGCTACGCTCCGAAAAGTGGAACGACAGTTTGCCAATCGCTTGGATACCGGGAGCGCTCCAAAAGGGAGACGTCCTCACCAAGCCCCAGAACCCATCTGATTGGTGGGACAGCATTTCAGCAAAGCTTCTTTTGCCTCTCGCCATAGGGCAAGAGGGGGTTCTGATCAGCAACAGGACGGTGAGACAGAGAATTAGTGCGAAACTTGATGGTACCGTTATGCTTGATGGCATCTTTCCTCATGAATACTTTATCGTATGATCTGTCTCGCTGAGCCCTGTGTGTAGAGTGCTGGTCCCGAACCCCTCTCTCGATGCAGGTTTCCGAAGGCATCTGCGCGTCAAGCCAAAAGGAACGCACCGCCGGTGCGCAGGCAGGGTCGGGAGTGCTTTTGTGCCCCTAGTCGGAGCCTCCCGTACATTCAGTCTCACAGTAATCCCCGCTCGGGCGGTCCCTTCCCGCTACTGCCTAGCCGTCACGTACGAAGTGATGGCTCCCGCAATGGCTGCAGACTGGAAGCTGCCGGGCCCACCCGCGTATCTCCGTGCAGTGTGGAAACACGTGCGGCGTGTAGTCTTCCCCGACCACAAGAAAGTGAGAGAAGTCCTCCCACCTGTGGCCAATGATCATTCCACCCCAACAGGTGAAGCAGAGATTTTCGGTGATGATCCTGCCTTGTGGCACGGATGCCAGACCGACACAGTTCCGATAGAGATGGACTGTGCGCCTGGTCGGAGCATAGTACAGCTCCCCAAAGTTGTGCTGCGGCACAGGGGGAAGGCGTGCTCCAGGTTGGAGTCCTTGCCCGCACCACCCCGTTGACGAGGTTCTGGGGTGCCGCTGGTGGCGGCGGGGCTGCCGCGTCGGCGGCTGCTCCCGCATCCCCATCGTGAGGCTCTGGTTCAGGAGCCGGGGGTCTTAGGTCTCTAGGCGGAGCCGCCCGCGCCGGAGCGCGGAAGAGGTCTTCGACCGCTACCGGTGGCGTTGCCACCTCCTCCGGGACTTCTTCGCTCCCGGGTTCTTCTGGTAGCTCTTCCTCGGGCTCTTCTGTTGGCTCCGAGGGCTCCTCTTCTGGCTGCCGGCCTGTCGGCTGCCTCGGCCTTCGCAGCGCTCGGCTGCACCACCCGGTCACCGTCCTTACCACAAACCACAGGATAACCAACCAAGTAAGCATACCCAGCAGCATGGTCGCCTGCAGGGCCCATTGGATGATCTCCTCCTCGCGTGGCTGCGCCTTCACTCCAAGGATTTGGTCCGCCAAAATGGCGTTGACGATGGCTATCGTAGGCCTGAAAGGGAGAACCGGCTTCCACTGACTAGGCGGGTTTTCCCGCACAAGCTTCACCGAGTGCCGTTCCGCAGCGGGGGCTCCCGCAACCAAGGTGGGATCCACCATGGCAAGGGATGGCAAAGCTTGCGCAACCTCGTTGCCTGTCTTAGCGTGCTTCGTAAGGAAGTTCGCCGGGTTCTCTGTGCCTTTCACTTTTCTCAGCAAGGCCTTTCCAGCTTGCACGGCCCCTTGCACATAGAATTCGGACACATCAAGGTGTCTCAGTTTTGTGCCTGGGCCGATCCGCTTGGCTGCCGTGATCCCAGCAGCTCGTTGGCCACGTAGGCTTCCGTCTGGGCTTGGTCGTAGTAGCCAGACAGGTCGATGCCCGCGAGGGCGTTGGCGATCTCCTGGTCCGTCTCTGCTCGAGTGTAGAAATCGAGAAGAGCCGTGATGATCTTGTTGTCGACCTGGCTGCTGTTGTCGTAGCTCGACAGGGCCGAGGAGATGGCCGAGCTCACCTGGGCGCTGGTCTGATAGTTCGTGAGCTCGCCGGCCACGAAGCTCGACACTTCTGTTTGGTCCAGTATAGCACCAGCTCCCCGGCGATCAGGGCCGGCACCTGGGTCTCCGTCCGGTACTGGGACAGGTCCAGGGCGTCGATGGCCGCCGTGATGGCGGCTCCGGTCTCGACCTGGGTGTAAACCTCGCTCCTGGCGTAGCTGTCGGACTCGATCAGGATCGTGTCATCCAGATTTTGGAGGGTGGCCGTCAAGGCCCCCGCCACGGACAGGTTGCGCAGCACATTCGTGCCCCGGAGCAAATTGAAGGTCGGCCCGCCGTTCCAGGTCTGCCCGTTGCTCAAAGTGACGGGCACCAGCGCGGCCGTGATGGCCGCTTGCACTTGAGCTATCGCAATAGGGGCTCAGGTCGATCGTGGCCAGCCCCGCCGCGATGGCTGCGTTCATCGCGGCGGTGTCCGAGTATAAGGCGCCGGTGCTGCCGCTATCGCGGCGTCCCGCTGCACCACGGTCCCGTAGGGCACCAGCGGTCACCAGCGCATCTGCGATGGCCTGGGTCATCTGCAGCGTGGTGCTGTAGTCGGCCAGCTGGGTGTCGGTGTAAGTGTTGGCCGAGGCAATCGCGGCCACGATGTTCGCCGTGGCTTCCGCCCGCGTGAAGTGATTTGTCAGAGGGCCGCCGCGATGGCTGCGTTCATCGCAGGGGTGTCCGAGTAGGCCGCCAGCTGGGTCGTCACCCAGGACTCGCTCGGGAGCAGGAGGGCATCGGTTTGAGCGGTGCTGTATGCATCGCAGGTGAAGCTCAGAGTCCAATTGTCATTTGCCAGCTGGATGCTCAGCGGCGCCACGGCGTGCAAGTTGCGCACCGTGTTTGTTCCGGCCAGCAGGTCCCAGGTAATGTTCGCGGGCCAGGCGGGTGCGTTGACCAGATTGGTGGCACCGCCCAGGGTGGCGGACACCACGCTGGAGCTCACCTGCGACGCCTACACGAAGGCGGAAGCCGACGGGCGCTACCTAGCGAACAACAACTTCGCGCCGCTGGACGCCCGCTTCTTCCCCAACAATCCCGCCGTGGCGGAGGGCAACGGCATCTTCCACCTCGTGCAAAAGCAATTCACGCCGCACATCGTGCGCAGCCTGCTTTTCAGGTCGCCCCTCACAGGAGCGGCGATCTTGGGCAACGGCAGCGTGCTCGAGATCGAGGCGGACTGCTGGAGCAAGTCCCAAAGCGACAGCCGCTACCCCCTCATCGCCACCTTCAACAGCCTGGGCTCCCAGGTCTCCTCCATCAACTCCCGGGTCACCACCCTGGAGAACAGCGGAGGCGTCGCCCCCGCGGCGGACCTCACCGCCAACAGCCTGACGGCCACGAGCTTCGTGGACACGCCCGAGCTCCGGAGCTCGGCGGGGGACCTGCAGGTCCAGAATGCACTGGTCACCATCCGCAAGGAGGACGGGGCGCTGCTGGCGTCCTTCGCCGACGGCGGCATCAGCATGTAACCGTGGCCGCGGCCAGCACCCTCAACGCCACCACGGCGGACTTCGCGCAATTGCTCGTCGGCAGCACCGCTGCAACGGGGACCTTCAACAGCAACAGCAGCGTCACTGCCAACCTCGAGGTCGTGAGCAACCTGCGGGTCGAGGCCCCGCTGGTGCGCTGCGACCCGGCGGCGCCGTGGCTCTCCATCGAGGGCGGCGTGCAAGGGGTCCTGGTCAATGACACCCTCCTCGTCAACGGCGCCATCGCGCCCGAGCCCAGCCTGCCGTACCTCTACCTCTCCGGCGGCACCACGGGACTAGCTGAACACGAAATTCGCCACCGTCACGGGGCTCGGGGACCCCGGCGGCTTCTGCGAGCTGGCCGTCATCAACCAGGCACCGACGGGCGTGGCACGGCTATTCCTGGGTACGCAGAACAACACCCCGGCCGGAGGAAAGGGCGGGCTGGTGGCGCTGGCCAACGGCGGCGTGCAGCTCCCAGTTCATCAGCATCAACACCACGTCAGGGCTGGCGAACCTGGCCGTCGAGCCCAACGTCGGGGGCAGCAACGACGGGGAGGTGATCTTCGGCTACGGGTTTGTCAACCTGAGCGACCGGGCCTTAAAAGAGAACGTCCGGGCCATCCCGGAGGACGAGCTGCAAGAGACCTTCGATGCCGTGGAGCCACAGCTCTACGACCGAATCGACGGCGGCAAGGAGCAGATAGGCTTCGTGGCCCAGGACGTGCAGGCCAGCGGGAAGCTGGGAGCGACCATGTGCAAAACGAAGAACCTGGACGGCCGGGAGCTCATGGCGCTCGATTATCAAAAGCTATCCGTGGTGCTGTGGGGTGTGGTCAAGAAGCTGCAAAAGCGGGTGGAGAAACTTGAGAAAAAGAAGGGTGATGTTGCATCATAAATAAACATGTCTCGCAAAGAAGACGACGCCGAGCTCGACTTTGCATGCGAGGCTGTGATGAACCGAGCATCCGAACATAACTTGGTCGCGCTGCTCGACAAATGGTCTACGCGCTGGAAGCATCGGGGGCGCACTCGAGCCATCGGTCCGCATGCTTATGAAAAATACAGCACTCTCGGCTTCTTTGGACACGGTGGGGTCTTTGGCATTTCAAGAGCATCTGAAATGAAAAATGCATGCATCGCCGTGAACCAGTTTCTCAGAGAACGCTTTCCGTCTCAGACGTGGGCTTCCATCGCGGTGTTGTACAATCCGTCAATGCCATTGCATCGCGATATCCTGAACATGAAAGGTCATGCCAATCATGCTATCACTTTAGGCAACTTTATTGAAGGTCGAGTCTGGATCGAAGATGAAAACGGACATGCAACTGCATTGCTGGAAACGAAAAGCGGTCAGAAGCTGCTTCGAGGAACGTGGGTTGACATGCATGACAAGCCCGTTTCATTCAATGCTCGGAAATACCACATGCTCGAAAAGCATCGCGGAAACATGTGGGCTCTTGCCGCTTATACGCCTCAAGCATACAAACATGCTCATGAATCTCACGTCGCGGAACTGATGGAACTCGGCTTTCCCGTTCCTGCATCTCAAGGATGAACCTTCGTATGAACCTTCGATGCGATCTCGTTCGCGTTTATAACTGCATTTCGCAACAAAAATTAACTCTAGGACGAACCTTCGTATGAACTTTCGATGCGATCTCGAGCGAGTTTATAACTGCATTTCGACGAAAATTAGCTCAAGGACGAACCTGTAGAGACTCGGATAAAGACTCAGTCTTTGTGGAGTCTTTCAGGGGGAAGACTGGAGTCTTTCACGGTGAAGACTGGAGTCTTTGCTGAGTCTTTCTGGAGTCATTACAGAGCTCGAAGAAGGCTTTTCGGCAAAACGTATCGCGATTTCGAGCCTGAACAACTTCTTTCCGCCTCAACACGATTCAAGTCGTTTTCGATGAAACGTATCACCATTTCGATCCTGAAGAACTCCTTCCTCTGCAATGTTTTTTCTA